TTATTTATATGTTATTAAATTAGATTACGTTAATTTGTAAAAGTTAAGATTGAACTTGGTATTTATATCTACTTTTTGTTATTAATATTAGTATCTACTTTCAGGTGTATTTATGTAATATTATTTTAAATGTTAAAAAATTTAATTATAGTACCGAACCGAACAGAACCGAACCGAATCGAACCTGAACGGTTCCAAAATTATATTTGGAACCGACGGTTCCATTTACTAAATACCCGAAAATTTCTGGAACCGAAAAAAATCGAACCGAACCGACCCGCACCCACCCCTAGTTCTATTATGGTGTCAGAAGATAAATGGTGTACCCTGAGATTTGTCAACAAGGTTACTCCATAAAAGAATCTTGAGATAAAGAAAGGTGCAATAAAAAAGAGAAAAACAAACAAAAAATGAGAAATAAATGAATAGCTTCAAGTTCTAATCAATAATGAAATACATTGCATCTACGTATATTCATTTATACACATACTTGTAAAGACGATACATGTAATTGGTACTACATACTTCTAAAAACAATACATGTACATGTAGTACCAATGTACCAGAACCTCATAATTTCAATCACCGTGGAGTTAAAATTAATTTATCAAACTTAAAATGCTAAAAATAATTAAATCTTGAAAAGTTAGTAGGCAAATATCAAGTATCTAAATGTACTAAATCGTTGCATTCTAGAAAATTTTTAGATTGCCATGTCACATACAACATATCAATTCCATTCTCTTGATTGATTATTTAGTTCCATTCCTTCGCATTAACTGAGCCAAGAAAATGTATATGTGATGGAACTACATGTTTCAGATTACATTTGATACTGGGATAACCCAGAATGTTAAGAATTGTGGATTTAGTATTACATGCATGATGCCCACTCAAATTAGAACACTTGAACTTTTTCACCTCACTGTGCTTAAAGGGCAGAGGAATTCATATTTGAACTGCTGCGGTGATGACCCTTGTCATCACTCCTAGCAGTTTAAAGCGAACTCGCACAATGAAGCAAAAATAAAAGATAAAAACGCATGGTTTTAATTAAAAATAAATAAATCTAAAAAGGCTGCAAAGGACAGATAACGGCAACTGTATGTTGACATCAGTGATCAGAAAAAGACAGCTCTTAGCTTTATTTGACAATGCATAGATTTCAATCAGAAAAGGAGGAAGAAGTATATGAACAAGAGGTCACATATTCAATGCTTTTTACTATACATT